AGTACCAGATTTGGAAAAAGAAGACCCAGCCCTGAGCCCTGGCTCTGCTTCTTACCAGCTTTTTGACCTTGAATAAATTGTGTGACTCATCTGAATCTCATTTCTTTCATTTGTACAATGGAGATAAAAATACCAGCACTTTCTGCTTATTGCAAGGAAAGTACCTGACAAACCTTAAATTATAGAATTCTACTACATTTAAAATCAGTGTAGACTCTACCTCAGAGGATTGTTAGGAAGTTCCAATAATAAAAATAATAACTTACATTTACATGGAGTTTGCAAATTACTTTACAAACATTATCTCATTTAATCCTTATAACAACCCTGTTAGGTATGTGCTACAGGTAGCATTAACCTCATTTTACAGATGAGGAAACTGAGGCTCAGAGAGGTTAAGTAATTTGACCATGGTCCCACAGTAGTATGTGACAGTAGTGGCATTTACCCAGGTCCAAGCCCAGCACTACTCTATCCCTACTATAGCACTGCCTCAAATGAGATGATGTACATGACACTTTGTGAACCTTAAGTACCATACAAATGGCGGCAGTTATGATGTCAGCATGTAGCCACCCCAACTCCTCAACATTCCTTCCCCAACACACATACACAGATAGGAAACCCCTGCAGATTCAAAAGCATTGAGACAGAGAACGCTAACACAGCTCACCAGAGAGGAAGGAGGAAGAAATCATTGCATAAAATTGCACAAATTATTGCATAAAAGATTCTACTTGGCAAGCTCAGCCTCCACAACTGTTCTAAGGCTCCGAATTCAAGTCGTCAACATCACTCAACACCCACTAGGTGCCTGGCATTGTGCTAGGTATTATTGATGTGTGTGTATTCGTGCCTGAACAGTGGGGGTGTTACAAAGGAGAAAGAAAACTCAAGTTTCTGCCCTCACAGAATAGATGTAACTTTAATTTCAGTCTCTAAGCCTTCTTCTTGACAGGATTCAGTTTTCCTGCCTGAGACACCTCAAAGATTCCGGCTTTCTCCCCCATCCTTCCTGGTAAAGGACAAGAGGAGGGAGGGTGCAGCTAGGTGGTATAGTGGATAAAGCACCAGCCCTGGAGTCAGGAAGACCTGAGTTCAAATGTGGCCTCAGACACTTATTAGTTTTGTGGCCCTGGGGCAAGTCACTTAATCCTGGTTTCCTCCCAAAAAAGGGGGGGAGGGGGAGATGGGATATCTGCTTTTTCCTATCCAAGTTCACTGAGTGGAATCTCATGGGTTCCTAAGACTGAGATCTTAGGACAGAGGTTCTTAACCTTTTTTGTGTCATGGATCCTTTTGGCAGTCAGGGGATGCCTATGGATTCCCACTCAAATAATGCTTTTAACTGCATAAAATAAAATACATAGGAATACAAAGGAAACCAATGGTATGGAAATAGTTACAAATATGGGGGGGAAAAAGAAAAAAAACAGAAAACAAATTTACTTACACCAGACTAGATGGTATATAGACTACATTGGACTAGATGATTTCTAAGATCCTAGAAGGATCTTAGAAATCATCTAGTCCAATCCCCTTATATCACAGATGAGGAAACTGAGGCACAAAAAGGGGTTAAAGTGACTCCCAAGTTACACAGACAGGAAGGAACAGAACCAGAACTGAAATCCCTGTTCTTTTCCTCCAAATTCAGTACTCTTTCCACTATACTCCTCTGCTTCTCTCTACCCTGAGGTGATTCCCTCCTGCCCAGTCTTCCAGTGGATACTGGGGGGAGGGTGGGGAACTACCAGCAGGAGTAAGCAGTTTAAGAGGTGGCTGAGAGACAGGAGCTGGGCCCAGGCAATGGCTTGTCTGGAGGAAAAGCAAGGCCCATTTTAACCAGAGGTGGCTCAGATCAAAAGGACTAAGAAAAGGTCTGCTCTGGCCCTGAAGACTTGGAGACTGTCGTTGGTATAGTTCCTTATCATCCCCACCCCGACCCCATCCAAGATCTTAAATTCCCACAAGGCTTCTAAGGAAAGAGAAACTCTGCATAGTCATAAGCCAATCCACAAATCCCCCTCAGGTTCAAAAGACTTCAGAAAAATAAGAATGGATTCATCCTCCCTTGCAAGGGGTCGGCCACTTCAGCCATCCCAGGTGTCCTAGTCAAGACTCACTGACCTCTCCAAAAGATACCAACCATCCAGAGCCTGTCCCAGGGAAACAGGAAGAGAAGAGATTAGCCTCCCTAGGCCACCAGCAAGAAGGGAGGAGGAAGAGGAGGAGGAAGAAGGGGAGGGGGGAGAAGGAGGAAGAATAAGGGGAGGGAGGAGGAGGGGGAGGAGGAGGAGGAAGAGGAAGGGTAAAAGGAGGGGAAGGAGGAGGAGGGGGAGGAAGAGGAGTTCTCCAGCTGAGCTAAACCAAGCTGCCTCTGACTGTCCAGAGTCATTAGGCCTTTCTTGGTCAAGGCTGTCACCTGGGCTGACAGGCTGCCAGCCAGCATCCTCTTAAGCCATCTCCCACCCTGAGTGCCACAGACACCTCCTTGACACCTTCAGGAGGGGCTCCTCTTTCCCATATAGACAGAGTAGGAAGGTGTTACCAGGAGACCAGTGCTGACTGGCACCTCACTTGAGGGGGATTTCTTTGACCAAAGTAGGAAACATAACTATCAGGATTAGCTCGGCGCCACATCAAACTTCAGCTCCAGTTCAATCTTAGGGGGCCGTGGAGTGATTGCCACCCTCCTCACCATTGATTTCTGTACCCAAGACAGTTTTAAGAAGTATTCTCAAGAGGTAGCTAGGTGATGCAGTGGATAGAGCACTTGCCCTGGAGTCAGGAGGACCTGAGTTCAAATTTGTCCTCAGAAACTTATTAGCTATGTGACCCTGAGCAAGTCACTTAACCCTGATTGCTTCCAAAAGGGAAAAAAAAAAAGTATTCTCAAGACATAGAGTTGAGAATAGTTGCATCCCATAGTCAGCCCCTCAAAGGAATCAAGTGTTGATCTCTTTGGAGCTGGTTGTCTTCCTGCCCCACGTATCCAAGAAGAGGAGCAATCTTTCATCCTCATTGTGAGCAGGGCTGGGGCCGCCTCACTACATGCCCTACCCAATTCATACCACTACATAGCAGTGATTTGGAGGGTTTAAGACCCAGCTAAAATGTTACTTTCTATAAGAAGCTTTTCGCCAAACTCCCTTAATGCCTTAGTTATCCCCAATTAATCTTGAATATATTTATTTGACATGGTCATTTGAAAGTTGTCTCCCTCATTAGGCTGAGAGCAGGGACTGTCTTTTGTCTCTCTTTGTACCCCCGGTGCTTAGCACAGTGGCTGGCACATAGGAGGCACTTAATAAATGCATATTGACTGACTGACTGACCAGCACATGCAGGACCTGGCAATAAGTATGTTGAACAAGCCTTGGCTACAACTCCACCACAAATCAACAAGCAGTATGTTTATGCTAGATACATAGGCCTAAGCACAGCCGTGAGTCACTCCCACCCTTGAAGCCCAGGACTGGATCTAGTTTAATCATGAGCTTCCTACGGAGTAAGAAGGGAGAAAGGAGCCTGGGCTTCCTGCACCCTCTGAAGTTTTCCACCTATGCTATGGTGCACACATAGTATTTGTTTTTGCTCCAAGTCCACATTCTCACGTCTTTCCCCTGAGGAACCAAGCTCTGTCTGCTCCTGACAGCATGTCATGTCAGATCCCACTGCAAAAGCAGACAGCAGTACAAGAGGAGAGAGACAATGGCAGGCCAGGCAGAGTGTAGAGGGAAGAGGCAAGATGGAAGGGGACCTCGGGGTCTTTATCTGAGGGAGGAGAGATCTCTAGGGACTCTCACGGCTTTAGAACCTATGAAGGACTGTGCCTTGGATGCCTGACAATACATCAAAGAGCTGTGATTTTGTTGGCATAGAAACCCCTTCCAACCACTACAGGTCTCAAACCTCCATAATTTAGTAGATAAGTCTAAGAAATCAGAGAGAGATTAAGTAACTTGCCCAATATAAAGCAGTTAAGTGCCCAAGGGTGACACAGTGAGTAGAGTATTGGAGTTGGAGCCAGGAAGACCGCATTTCTGGTACTTAGTACCTATGTGACCCTGGTAATGACCCAGCCTCAGATCAGGGATCCTTCTCCCAGCCTGAGATCAAGAATCCTCCTCTCAACCTCAGATCAGAGATCCTTCTCCCAGTCTCAGATTCCTTCTTGTTTTAAATTTATGATCTGAGGATCTCACAGCTAGGAAATGTCTGAGGTAGGACTTGAAGGCGGGTCTTTCAGACTCCAAGTCCAGCACCCTACCTACTAAGGCTTGCTGACTCATAGGCCTTGAGAATAGTAGCCTCTTAATATGTTTGTTGAATTTGTTGAATCATCCAGTGTTAGTAGAAAGCAAGGAGAGGGAGGGGAGTGCAGCAGCTGTAGAAATAACTAATAGAAGAAATCTTAGTTGGCTGCCCAACTTGTCTTTTTGTATATTTATTTGCCTCATGGTATCAGTCTTAAACTAGGGCAGCTAGGCTGTCAAAGTGGATACAGCACCAGGCCTGGAGTCAGGAAGACTCATCTTCCTGAGTTCAAACCTGGCCTCAGACACTTCCTAGCTTTGTGACCCTGGGCAAGTCACTTAACCCTGTTTACCTCAGTTTCCTCATCTGTAAATTGAGCTGGAGAAAGAAATGACAAATCACCCCAGGGTCTTTGCCAAGAAAACCTCAGATGGGGTCACAAAGAGTAAGACACACCTGAAACTACCAAAATAACAATCAGTCTTAAAACTATAAACTCCTAGTAGGCAGGAAGTGTGTCCATGTGACTTCCTACAGCACCCAGCATGGCAGCAAAGTAAGGAATAATAAATTCTCCTCCATTAGAATGTAAGTTCCTTGAGGGCAGAAATAGTTTTGGCCTTTCTTTGTGTCCCCCAGTTTAGGATAGTGCCTGGAATAGAGTAAGTACTTACAAAATTCATGTTGACTGAATAGCTTGATTTGATGAGGATGAGGAAGGGAGGACAGCAAACTCTTACCTGGAGGTTCACTCCCCGCTGAATCATTGCCTGGAGAGGAGCCTGGGCCCACGGTGCTATTAGTGAGGTTATCCTCCAAAGGCTGGGAGGACAGGGTCGTGCCAAAGAATCCTGCAAAGGGAATGGGAATCCCTGAGACCATGCCCTGATTACCCAGCCTTTCTCTCTCTCCCATCAACCCTCAGGAATGTGCTTCAAGAGGGCTTAGGGAGAAACCCCCAGAGGCCCATAGGATGTGGGATAAGATGTAGGAAGGGTCCCAGGACATAATCTAACCCAACCTCTTCATTTTAGAGAAGAGAAAACTGTGACAGAGTGGAGCCAAGACTTGATCTAAGTTACACAGAGAACTCAGACCAGAATACAGGTGTTTTGACTTGACTTTCTACCATACCACAGCTCATCTATGATACGTACTTTGTCCTCTACACAATTCCTAAGTAATCATAGGTGGGCTTGAAAGACGCATCCACAAGGGAGTTAATGGGGTAAAAGACAGATGTAACGCATGGGATAGGGTTGGCACCAGCCATTTGGTAAATAATCTATACCCTACTGGTTGAGACAAGCACCGCTCATTCCAGTTTGCATTCTAGAAGGATGGGAAGGGGTTGGATGTTTGGAGGTAATGAAGTGAACAATAGTGGTCCTCTCTCCAGTAAGCTGGTGCTAGGGTGGCCCACCAGGGGTTCCCACATCCCATCTCTGGAGCCCCCATGGCTAGAAGGCCAGTACTCACCAAAGGGACCCAGGCGGCCTGCTATCTCTGCCAGGCTGGCCCGAAGGCTAGGTAGCAAGGGCAACATCTTGTGCCCAAGGGTAGGTGCTGCCCCTGCTTTCAGCGCCACATCAAACTTCAGCTCCAATTCACCCTTGTGGGGCCATGGGGTGCTGGGTGGTGGGGCTGTGGCTTGGAAGGTAGTGTCCACGGATATCGTGCTCAGGAGAGGAAGCCCATCTTTGGGCCCTGAGTTGGGAGAGGTGGACTGCAAAGGCAGGGTGGAGGTACTGGAGACAGCACTGCCCTCAGCAGACCCCCACTCTGGGGAACTCATCACCAACCCAGAGAGAAAGTCAGTTCTCAGCCCACTGACCGAGTCATCAGGCCCCTGGTCCAGGATTTGGAGTCGAGGCTGGGTGTCTGTGGCAACTCCTCCCCAGGCAGATCCAGGTCCCCGAACATGGAACTTAAAGTTGAGGCCCAGGTTGAGAGACAGCATGGAGGCCTCACTCTGAGGGCGTGGGGCCAAGGTGGTAAGAAAAGCACCAGGAACTGGGGAGCCAGGCTGGGGGGCCACAGGAGCACACAGGAGGGCCCAGCAAACCAGCCCCAGCCCAACCCAGCCCTGCCTGGCCATGGCCCTCACACTGGATGCAGGGAGAACACCTCACCTCCAGAGAGAAAAGGACTGTCCTCCTGTCTGTCCTAAAGAAAGGACAGATGCTCCAGTTAGCCCTGCTTGCCAAGGAAATGCTTCAGCCTCCCCTCTCCCTGGGACAGACACATAGATGGGGGTGGGGTGCACTTCTGACTCAATAAAAAGGCACGGGGGAGGGCAAGTAACAAGACCCTGTGGAGAAGGCAAAGGTCTTTGGCTCCTAGAAAGGGAATGATATTTTGGCTCCTCTCCCATCGCCCCCTTCTCTGCAAAGCAAGCTTAGTGCATTGCACATAGTAGCCACTTGATAAATGTTTATTGAATGAATGAACCTCTCTTACTCAATCTCTCAGCCTTTTATTGCTCTGGCCCGCATCCCTGGCCCATCCCTGGCCTCCACATATCTGGGGCTACGTGTCCCAATGCTGCAGTGTACATCCATATGGCCCCATCAATTCCCTCCAATGCTTCCTTCTGCCCTTTCTTACCCTTACCTAAAGCAACCAGTTGTCCCACAGGCCCTGTACTACCCCACTCTAATTCACATAGGGCACTGGGAGCTTCCAGCCATTTCTCTGTCTCACCCCCACCTGTCCACCTTGAAGGGCTGGAATTACTGACCCCAAGCCAGAACATTGGCTCTTTAACCTAGTTGAGCAACTGGGGCATAAAGGAGACAACTGGGACCTGGGGGAGGGGAGTAAAAGAGGAGAGAGGACCCATGAGGTGTTTAGGGAATTGGGAGAGAGAATGGGGGAGGGAAGCTTCAGATTCTAGCAAAAGAAGCCCCTCCCAGCATAGGAAGTCCACTCCTGGCTCTGATTCTGGCTCTGTCCTGCTTCCTACTCTACTTGCCCCTCAACCCAACTCCCTCTTGGGGATTTTCTGTTCCTTTCTTTGCAGGGAGTTGGGGGGGGGGGGATTTTCTATTTCAGAGCTAAGAAAGGCCCCAGGCTCCTGGCTCCCCAGGGAAGAAAGCCAGGCAGACCAGACTCTTAACTCCTGCAGCTAATCACAGACATACACCACCACTAGGGATGGGATAACCAGCCACATCAGGCTAGGTGGGGGTGGGGGATAGGGGGTGGGGCCAGGAAGGGAGGAAGGGAGGATGAAAGGAATAGGAAGGGGGAGGGATGAGATAAGGATTCACACATGCACAAACAACCCTCACATCACACACACACATATCTACACTGTATACCCATGTTACACACATGCACATTTACACACCCCCTACAGACGCCCATATAGGCAGCACACACACCAGTCCATTCTCTCAAATATTCTCTCCCCCCTGTTCAACTCCTCCTTCACTCAACATGCCCCCACACTAGTAACACCTATGTCTTCACTCACACCCCCTCACATACACACAACCCACAATCCAGCCCAGTCCTACACACAAGCACGCGCACACACATGCATATACACTCCCCCAAGACCAGGGATGCGCTCATCTACCTCCTCTCCACTCCCATTCAGCCAGATTCCACTGGTTTCCCCTGGGGTCAGTCTCATCTAAAAGTCCCTTCTCAGAAAGGGGAGAAAACAGACCCTCTTGCCTAGTCCAGACCAGCTTCAAAAAGGCCAGAAATGTTGAACCCCTTCTCCCCCGCCTCCCTTGGCTACCCTCATCTTCGGTAATGAAAGCAAGAAGGGGGTAATGAATGGGGAGGAAAGACTGCTGGAGGGTCTGCCCTTGAGACATCTCCCAACGCGCGCGCGCACACACAGACACACACACACACACACACACGCTTTGCCCCCCCCCCCCCCCACTTGCCCACCGCCCCGTATGTCCAGATGCCTATGGTGAATCCCCCAGCTTTCTCTGACCCCTGGAGTCCTCCTGGTCTTTCCCCATCACCGCGTATCCCGGGCACGGTCATCTCCCATCAGAGGATCCCGGAGCCCCGCATCCCTCGGCCCCAACCCGAATCCCAGAGCCGGCTCTCACCGTGCCCAGCTTCAGAGGCTCCGCTGGCTCTCGCTTCCCGTGGGCTCCGCCTCCTGGCTCTGAGCCTCCGACTCCAGCAAAACCTCCCCGCTCCGGGTCTAGGTCTCTGTCTCTCTCTGATGATTTTTCCCTCCCCTTCTGCCTCCCTGTCCCCCTCCCTTTCTCTCTGCCTCTCTCCCTCCTCCATCCCCTTTTCCTCCCCCTCCCCTCACCCACCACATCAGCTGCCAGTGTGGAACCCAACACACAACCGCACAGAACCACGTACACTCAGTCAGTATTACCACTCAGACAGTCCTACACACAGCTCGCAAATACACAAGTCACCCTCACACTCGTGGCCACGCGTTATGCAATCAACCATACACAAATGTAGTTGCACGCTGTGCTCAGAGTCTATTTCAACACACAATCACACACATCCAGTCACGGACACAACACACACACACTCTCTCTCTCAAAAACACAACCATAGACATAGCAACCGCTCTAGTCACACACATGCCGAACACAGCCCATTCATAAAGAGGCAGCAAACCCTGGGAAATCCCACTCTGCAATGACAGCAAAGATCCAGTACCCCTGAGCTCCTTTAAACATCTCCTTCATGAGTTTGGCTTTTATGCCAGTCAGCTCTCTGAGCAATGTAAGAGGCTACAAAAGCTATGCTCAGCAAGTGTTGATGTGCTTGATTTAACCGTATTCATTAGTTGCAAGAGAAGGTTCAATTAAGGGTGAAGGTCGACTGGTGAGGGAGACCCAGTTGGGGAGACAGACAGGTAGGCAGACAGACAGAGACGGACAAACATGTAGGCAATCAGGAAGACAAGAAGAGACAGAGAAACACAGAGAAAAGGAGAGACAGAGAGAGACAGAGACGGGGAAGGAAGGAAGGAAGGAAACTACCTATTATGTTCCAAATTCTTGCTAGGGGTGAAATTAGTTCTGGGGCTATCCCAAGTGAGGAGTAAATCTTGCACCCCAGGACTCATTCCCTTCCAGGTCTCCCTTCCCCCATTGATGTAAAAAAATCAACCAGGCAGCCCACTTTTTAGTTTTGTAACTCTGGTTAAATCATTTTGACTCTCTGAATCTCAGTTTCTTTATCTGTAAAGCAGAGATAGTGATGCCAACATGATCTACTTCACAGGGCTGTTATAAGGATCAAATGAGATAATGTAAGTATGTAAAGTGCTGTCTAAACGTTAAAGTACCATATAAATGTCAGGTCTTATTATCACTTATGTCACAGTATTATTGTGAAAAAAGTGATTTGTAAACCACATAACTTTATATAAACTTAAGCCACTGGTGGAGCTTTTTAGTATTGTTGAAGGGACAAAGTTAGGCACTCAAGGTATTTAAAAAACCCATTTCATCCCTGGATTAATGATATCAATTCACATTCAAAGCCCTTAAGCAAAGTTTCACAGAAGGGCCTCTCTCCAGCCACTTTCTCCACTTTCCCCAGAAACTTCCTTGCCCTGCCTCCTAGAGGACCATACTTTCTATTGTGGGTCCCTGAGCCCTAGAAAGTCTGCTTGGGTGATAGCTGCAGTTGATGTCAGAGCTTATTCCCAGACCTTCTCTCCAAATACCTAAGGGCATTTTTCAACTTCCCTGGGGACACTTTCCTTGAATCCTTCCTAGAGACTCTTTGCTAATCACTTTTACTTAAATAAATTAGAAAGACAAAAACAAATAAACCTGGTGGGACTGGGAATACCAAAGCACTTTTAATTTAAACAACCTCCCTTCCAAATAAATACACTTCAAAATAGGCATCTCCATCCCCACTTTGCCCCTCTCCCAAAGCTGGAGTTTCCATTTCCAATATACAGCACACCTATGGCCCAGGGTGAATAGCTGTGATGTACTCAAAACGAGTCTAGAAAGCTACGTTCCAATCCTACTCTGCTACTAACTTGCTATGTAACACTGGACAAGTCACAATTTCTTTGAGACTCAGTTTGCTCATTTGTAAAACAATGGAGTTGAACTATATTGGGGTTCTTTTTGTTTCAGAGACCAACCCCTTGGGAGTCTGTTGAAGCCTATGGGACCTCTTCTTAGAATAATGTTTTTAAATGCATAAAATAAAATAGGATACAAAAGAAAAACTATATTGAAATACAGTTTGTATACATATATACATTTATATTTAACACAAGCTCCTGGGTTAAGAATCTCTGAACTAGATGTCAAAATAATAATAGCTAGCATTTATATATTACTTTAAGATTTGCAAAGCACTTTACAAATATTATCACATTTTATACAATACAATTCAGCAAATTTTTACTAAGTTCCCACTATGTTCTGAGCACTGTACCATACTCTGGGAAAAGGTGCAGAGTTTAGATGTAAAATTTAGTACATAGATCTTGTCCTCAAGAAATTTACATTCCATAGTAGGTAGATAAAATACCAATACAGATACTATAAGACCTACATGGTAAGTGCATTAAAGCTTATAAAACAAAGTACCTTGTGAGTTATGAAGGATAAAGGTCATTACTGACCAGGGTACTGAAGAAAGACTTCTAGAAGAAATGACATTTGAGTTGGGCTTTATAGGTTGAGTGGGATCAGTGGTCAAAGAACAGGACAAAGGAAATTCCAGGCATTGAAAATGATGAAAGGGGGTGGGGGGGGACTCAAGATGGCAGAGTGAAAGCAGTGACTTGCTTGAGTTCTCCCCCAAACTCCTCCAAATACCTATAAAAAATGGCTCTAAACAAATTCTAAAGCAGCAGAACCCACAAAAAGACAGAGTGAAACAAATTTCCAGCCAAAGACAGCCTGGATGATTGATCAGAAAGATATATCTCACCGGGCTGGAAGAGGAGTGCATGCCTCAGAGAACCTGGAGCAGGCCTCAGAGGACTGAATAGCGGGCAGCTGTGGTGGTTTCCAGACTTCTCAACACACAAGTGCCAAAGACAACTTAGAAGGTCAGTGGGAAAAGTCTGTGACTGCAGTGGTGAGAGAGGAGTGAAGGATCCCAGCCCCATTCCTT